GCTGCACACAGCTACTACCACCGCACACACCACTACCTCCCCCACACCACCACCCACACACCCCACCACCACCCCACACACCACCACCTCCCACACACCACCACCCCACACACCACTGCCCCACACACCACACACCTCCCACACACCACTCAACACCCCCACACACCACCCTCCCCACACACCACCTCCCACACACCACCACTCACCCCACACACCACTCACCACTGCACACCACTACCTCCCCACACACCACTGCCACACCCCACATGCACCCACTACCACCCCACACACCACCACCACCCCACACACCACCACCCCCACACACCACACACCACTACCTCGCACCACACACCACCACCACCCCACACACCACCACCTCCCCCACACCACCACCCCACACACCACTCACCCCACACACACCACCACCACCCCACACACCACTACCTCCACGACACACCACTACCCTCACACACACCTCACACCACACCTCCTGACACCCACACCTCCCCCTGACACACCACTGCACCTGACACACCACTACCCTCCTGACACACCACTACCCTCCACACCACCCCCACACACCACCACCCCACACACCACCACCCCCACACACCACCACCCATGACCACCACCACCCTGCACCACCTCACACCACCACCACCCCACACACACCACCACCCCACACACCACCACCACCACCACACCACACCACCTCCCCACACCACCACCACACACCACCACCCACCCCACACACACCACCACCCCCCTGACACACCACTACCCCCACCACCCCCACACACCACCACCATCTCACACACCAACCACCTCACACACCACCACCACCCCACACACCACTCCTACACCCTCACCACACCACCACCACCCCACCACACACCCCCACACACACCACTCCACACACCACCACCACCCCACACCACCTCACCACCACCTCCCCACACACCACTCCCACCACCACTCCTCTCACACACCACCACACACCCCACACACCACTACCCCACACACCTCACCACCCTCACACACCACCACCTCCCCACACACCACCACACCCCACACACCACTACCACCCCACACACCACCACCT